GAGGAGACAGGCGTCAGGAGAAAGTTAGAGTAGCCACAATACTTGCCCAACCATGTTCTGAAACACGCAGATGACGGTGGAAGCAGCCTGCAGCTCCACAAGCCCAGGAATGCTAGCATAATATCAACATAAATACTACTAATGATGTCCTATGCTTGGTCTAGAGTACTCTCGCTTCTAAAAATAGTCACTACAACAATGTTAGTAGGGATTCAGGACCAAAGTCAGACCTGAGGTAAGTAGTGACTCCAATGGAGCTGTACCTCTCTTACAACAGATCCAAATACAGCCCTCCCTCAGCGTGTTAGTTCTCTAAGTATATGTGAAATGCTATCAGCAGAAAAGGATGTAGAGAAGCAGCATCCCAGACACCAGAATGAGCAGTTTTAGAAGGAGCAGGATGTGTAGGGATACTTCAGTCATGTAGTATCCAGATCAAAATTTTGATGCAGGCTGTAACCACGTAAATGCATATGGCTTAGAGCAGTGCTTCTCAAAGTGGTGGTCCGCGGACCGGTGCCAGTCCGCTAGCCATCGGCTGCCGGTCCGCAGCGAGTTTCCTCATAAGAGCGTCAAATAGGATATGGCACCGGTCCCTGGCACATTGGAAAAAAAAATTGCCAGTCCCCCACATCAGATAGCTTGAGAAGCACTGGCTTAGAGCGCATAGCTAGGTCTTCCGCTGCTCTCTCACAGGGTTCAGAGAAGAGGGCTTCCTCCCTCCCATTTAAAAACCCCTGCTCACATGAGAGTGTTCAGTCAAACCCAGCTAGATGGCAATAACGAGCCACAGGTTTTGGGAGGGCAGGACAGACCTCAACCCAGTAAAGCACTTAGGCCTGGTCTACACTAGAAAATTAGGTTGGAATAACTATATCTCTCAGGGATGTGAAAAATCCACACCCCTGAACAGCATAGTTAAGCTGGTCTAGGTCCCCGTGTAAACAGCACAAGGTCAATGGAAGAATTCTACTGCCTTTTGGGGAGGTGGATTATCTACACCAAAGGGAGAATCCCACCCATTAGCGTAAGTAGTGTCTAGACCAAGGGTCGGCAACCTTTCATAAGTGGTGTGCCGAATCTTTATTTATTCGATCTAACTTAAGGTTTCGCATGCTAGTAATATATTTTAACCTTGTAGAAGGTCTCTTTCTATAAGTCTATAATATATAACTAAACTATTGTTGTATGTAAAGTAAATACGGTTTTTAAAACGTTTAAGAAGCTTCATTTAAAATTAAATTAAAATGCAGAGCCCCCCGGACCGTTGGCCAGGACCCATGCAGTGTGAGTGCCCCTAAATCAGCTCGCGTGCCGCCTTTGGCACGCATGCCATAGGTTGCCTGCCCCTGGTCTAGACCAGGGGTCTCAAACATGCGGCCCGCAGGGCTATTTGCTGCGGCCCGCCGAGCCAGGGCCGGCTTTAGCAAGAGCGGGGCCCCAGGAATCGAGCCGCACTCCGGCTGTGTTCGCCGGGCTTGGGTCCGGCCCAGAGTCCCTCGGGGGGCCGGGGCCGCGCCGCGGGGGCCGGGCAGGCCGAAGCCGAAGCCGCGGGGGCCGGGCCGGGGGCCGGACCCGAAGCCCCGGTGCGCTCGGCCGGAACCGGAGCCGGACTAGGCCGCGCCTCCCCGGAGCCCTTCTCGCGCCCCCCGCCACCCCGGGTTACCTGTTGCTGCCTGCCCCTGCTTCTTTTCAGACTTCTCGCGAACCACTGATTCGCGGGAAGCAGGGGCTGGGGAGAAGCAGGGGGCGGAGCGTTCAGGGGAGGGGAGGAGGGGGAAGTGAGCTGGGGGCGGGGTGGAGAGCTGCGGCGCGGGGCCCTCTTGGCGTGGGGCCCAATTCAGCCGAATCGGCTGAATCGGCCTAAAGCCGGCCCTGCGCCGAGCGACCCGCCCCCGCTCCCCCCGGCCTACCTCCAGGCCAGAGGTTGGCAAACTACACTCGCAGGATTGCCCCCCTCGAGCCCCATGCCGGCTGGCATCACGTCCCTGCGGCCAGGGGGGGAGGAGGGAGAAGCAGAGGGTTCCGTCTGTGTGTTGCCCTGGCTTCCAGGCACGCCCCCCCCCCCCCCCCCCCCCCCGTCGGCGGGGCAGGGGGACCCCCGGCCCATGGGAGTTTCGGGGGAGGTACCCGGAGGAGCGGCAAGAAGCGTGCGTAGCCCTGCATCCCCCTCCCCCAGGGGCCGCAGGGACATGGTTCCAGCTGCCTGCCCTGGCCCCGGACCCGGTGTGCACCGCTGCCACCCCGGAGCCCAAAGCCTTCCTGCACCCCACCCCCCAACTCCCTGCCCTGAGCCCCCTGCTGCACCCCACACCCCAACCCCCTGCCCTGAGCCCCCTGCTGCACCCCACACCCCTTTTGCACCCCAACCCCCTGCCCTGAGCCCCCTGCTGCACCCCACACCCCTTCTGCACCCCAATCCCCTGCCCTGAGCCCCTGCCTGAACCCCAACCCCCTGCTGCACCCCAACTCCCTGCCCTGAGCCACCTGCCACATCCCACACCCCTCCTGCATCCCAACTCCCTGCCCTGAGCCCCCTGCTGCACCCCATACTCCAACCCCCTGCCCTGAGCCACCTGCTGCATTCCACACCCCTTCGGCACCCTGAGCCCCCTGCCTGCACCCCAATCCCCTGCTGCACCTCAACTCCCTGCCCTGAGCCCCCGCCACACCCCTCATGCACCCTCTGGGGGCAGGGAAGGGGTGGAGTGGGGGCAGGGCCGCGGGCAGCAAGGGGTGTGTGTGTCAGTGATAACAAGGAGTCTGATGGCACCTTAACTCCTTGGTGTTTTTGTAGATACAGACTAACACGGCTACCCCCTGATACTTGTGTCAGTGATGCGGCCCTCGGGCCAATGAACTAACCCTCATGTGGCCCTCGTGGTCATTTGAGTTTGAGACCCCTGGTCTAGACTGAAGCACTACAGCAGTGCAGCTGTGCATTTTAAGTGTAGACAAGCCCTTAGGCCCTGCTTAGCTCCAACTATGTGAGTAGCCCCACTGAAGTCAATGGGACTATTAACGTGCTTAAAGTTAAGATGTGTTTAAGTGATTTACAGAATCAGGGCACAGTGAATAATCCTGGCATGGCATAAATATGAGGATACTCCCATATGTGACAAATATTAATGAACAAGAGCCGGAAGTTGCAACTAACTGAGTTTCCCTCAAAGAAATAACCACAAGGGAGCTCTGCAAATGCAGTGTGTGTGATAAGCACCCAATTCCCATTAAAGGTCAATGGGAGTCAGGCACCTGACTCCAATATGTGCTTTTGGATCTCTCCCACCTAATTGTCTTCACCAGCAGTTCATACTGGAAGATTTGGTTCCAATATATTGAACCAAATTTATTACTAGTGTATCTTTACTGACCAGGTCTGACTCCAGCCCATTCCTCTCAATTCATTCTCATTGTTATCTCATGCACACTGCAGGCAGTGCACAACCTTGTCAGAAATGTAATCTCTGTCAACTCTGTCAAATCCTATCCGGCACTCCACCAAGATTGTTTTTTGCTTAAAAAAAGTGACAAAAAAAATTAACAGATGTTGTTCAGACCATTCCAACAGGACAGGAATCAATTATGAGCATTTTCACTCCCAGAGCCGTCTCTTACTGCAAGGAGCATCTTAGGAAACCTTTTCCTGATCGAAATGAAAAAGCATTTCTTTGTAATAGAAGAATAATAAATGATACCTATCAGCCTGCATTCTCTGACACAGTGCTAGTCCTTGGAGAATTAAATTGCCACTGTATAGTTATATAAATGTTTAATTTTTTCATCTTTAGCCACAGTATGGTTGTCTGGAAAATACATTATCATTGTAGATGTCACTGCTCTCCAGTTAATGTGGCTGACAGTATAGAATTGGTAGGTGACCTCTATGTACTCCAACTTGCACAGTTTTCCAGGGTTAACTATGGCCATTTAACAGCATCCCTCAGGAATTACCGTAGTGATCATTGTTTCTTTTAGAGGAAATGTTTTATGACACGGATGGTGAGAACTCTCCCCGTTTGACTCTTTTATTACATCAAAACAAAGGCTTTTAATGATGTTTACCATGAATCGAATTCAACAGCTGAAGCCCAGTTCATAATCACAACACTTTGTTTTCACATCCTTAAGTCTTTTAGCAGTGGGGCTTCCAGTTGAGCCTCAGCTACAGCCTCTCTCAAGAGATATCCAAGCATCCCTAAGGCTTCCCTGAGCTTGAGCACCAAACTGCATTCATACATCTTAATTGAAAATGACAGGATGTTTGCAGAGGATGTTTGCATCAGTAAGACATTAAAAGCGACATTCATGCCCAAGTACATATGAAGGAATGGGCTCAGCTGAACTCTTCTGACTATTTTCCTCCAGCTAACACTCATTTGGGTTTAGATCATAGCTTGATTTTCCAACTCTGCATATGGGTATGTGTAATAGGTGAAACTGCAGTTTAATGGGGTGGAGGGGAAGACACAAATACCTCGCCCACTTGACTGAGCTAATCTCCTGTGGAATGTGTGAATAATGTGTATATATGCTCAGCCGACCTTTTCGAAATGTTGTGTGGATGATGTCTGCTCACAATCTCCTGAAATCCTGCTACAGCGTGTCAAAAATAGGGCATGTGATCTTTGATTAAGAAAGTGAGGTCTAGTGCAGCAAGCACCTGACCAGAAACAAGTAACTCCTGCTCTAATTCTAACTCTGCCACTTGAATAGCTTTCACATAAAAACTCAGGGGGGGTCTCAGTTTCCCCATCTGTGAAATGGAGGATAATCCTCATTGTTTACTTACTTGACAGGGGTAGTGAAGATTAATTTATATCTATACAGCACTCGGAAGATGAAAAGCACTATATGCAGTAAGTGCTAAGCATCCTTATTGCACACCCATGCAAGAATATATTCTAGCCATCAGGGTCCAGCTATCTAATGCTACTACAGTCAGAAAGCTCCATAGATCTCCCTCTTAACATACATTATTTTGAGCTGACACAACCTACCTTGTTCAGGCATCTGAGACCCCATGGAAGTAACACTGGTGTTCAGCACATCGTTGACGGCAGTATCACAGTACAGGCCCCGTTGGACATCATGTTCACTGTCAGTCTGGTCACTCTCCTCATGCCCACTATCCTTGAGACTATTCCCCTCTAAGTCCTTGAAAGTTGAACTGCTGGGTTAAAGAAAGAACAATGATTTACTGTCATGTCAAGTCTGATCAGATAAAGTCTCTCTTAGCCAGGATGATGTCATAACCCTGAAGCAAGACTTATACTGGCTGTATTCTCTGGGGGGGGGAGGGGAATCTCTTTCATAGGTAGTCACAATTCAGAACCACAAAAGAGTGTTCCCAGTATGACACACTAACAATTCTATTCATTGATCTTTATGCACGTTCCAGTAGGCAACTAGAACTAGCTGCACGTCTGAAACAGGAACTGCCTACAGGTTTGTGAGAATTACAGAAAGATCTTGCTCATTTATCACACAAGCAAAGTGCTGCTGCTCATTGTGGAATAAGCCAAAGAGACGAAAAGTTGAAGCGGCGCACAGCTGAAGCAGACTGGAGGCAAGATCAGGAACAGAGGATCACCTTATACCTGAGAAGAATAGGAAGAGACAAAGTATAACAGCAGTTCAACCTATTCAACTTGGCATGTCACATACAGCTCTGAACCATTCTAACAGAAAAGAAATGAAGGTCTCCTGTGAATACAGACAAACTATTGCTGAATGTGCCAGGTACAGGCTGGAAGAACTTCCTGGCTGTGCTGCTGAGTACATAAGGTACAAAGAAAATGGCAGTCAGGACAACGACTAATGTATTGCTGAAAAAGGAGCCCTACAGAGGTAGCACTGTCTCGCCATATCCATTCATCCTGCAAAACAGAAAATCCAGCTTACATTGGTTTTCAGAGTTATTCTTTTTATACTCTGCAAAACTATCCTGTGGAACTCAATGCAACAATATATTACTGAGGTCAAAAGCTTAGCAGGATTCTAAAAAGGATTAGATATTTATATAAAAAAGAACATTCAAAATTACATTAGCTAGGATAACCCCTTATAAGCTTCAGGGCATAAACCAACTTCTGTTGCAGCCTGGTATTTGGGAAAAAAAAATCCCTGTGAAAAAGGCTATTCCATATATTGTCCATTATGAGGTTTCTTGCACCTTCTGAAGCAGCTGGCTCAGGCCACTATTAGAGACAAGGTACTGGAACAGGATGGACCCTTGGTTTGATCGGATATGTCAGTTCTTACGGTGGTAACAAGCCCAGTAGCAAAAGAAAAAGCAATGCACAGTACACACTTCTGAGATTACCTTTAACAGGTCATGGCAAGAACTGCATGAGGTGTTGAGTAAGGTGCATTGACCTGAATGTAGAGAATGTACCAGCAGAGCAGCACACCCTGACTACCATCAGCATTAGGACATGAAGATGTTCAGGACATTCTGCCACCTGGGCTTGATGAGGCTGGGGCCAACTCCACTGACACCTGGAAGAGAATGACTATAGAACACAGGCCAGGGAAAGCCTTTTATTGGGCAGAGACCAGGTAACCAAGAGCCAGAAGAAGCAGATGAGTATAATTCCCAGGGTCCATGTGACTTTAAAGGCCTCAGACTTCTTTTGAGGAAACTGGCTTGTTTTATTTCAATTCTTATCACTGTTATTGTTTATTTGTATTGTAGAAGCACCTAAGAGCCCCAGTCACAGCCAGGACCCCATTGTGCGAGGCACTGCACAAACACTGAACAAAAAGACAGTCCCTGCCCCACTGAGCTTATCTTAAGAGGCACCACACTGAAAGCTTCTGGCCGCCCTGCTCAACACCTTTCTCCAGTATTGGGGAGTTTTGCTTGGAGGCCAGTCCTCACAGGACCAGGGCCTGAGCATGGCATGATCTACAGTCTCATATATGGATGCTGGACTTTGCTCTTGACATCTCAGATTAGCAAGAGTTAGAACCTAGCATAAAACTGCAGAGTAAATTCTGGTCGTTGTGGCAGGAGCAGCTTATTAATGCTACCAATGTATACAAAGAGGTGGGTGCGACTCTGAGGGAATCAAAGACAGAGACAGGGAGCTCCTGCAGGAAATCCTATACAGAGCAAGGCTTGGGGGGAAAACATCATCTGCATTTGGTGTTCTGTATAAGTCTGACCTTATACAGTAACTGATGTAACAAAGTTTTACAGGTAAAGATATTACTGGTTTGAGCAGGTTCCCCTGTGGCTTAGATTTTCAAGAGTGACTAGTGATTTTGGGTGCCTCTGTTTTTGACAATTCAAAGGGACCTGATTTTCCAAAGGCATGTGCTCAGCACTTTCTGAAAATCAGACTCTTTAAGGCAGGGGTAGGCAACCTATGGCACACGTGCCGAAGGCGGCACGCAAGCTGATTTTCAGTGGCACTCACACTGCCAGGGTCCTGGCCGGGGGGTTCTGCATTTTAATTTAATTTTAAATGAAGCTTCTTAAACATTTTTAAAACCTTATTTACTTTACATACAACAATAGTTTAATTATATATTATAGACTTATAGAAAGAGACCTTCTAAAAACATTAAACATGAATTACTGGTGCACGAAAGCTTAAATCAGAGTGAATAAATGAAGACTCGGCACACCACTTCTGAAAGGTTGCCGACCCCTGCTTTAAGGTATCTCAAGTCGGGCATCCAGAATCACTAGTCATGGCCATGTACTTATGATGGTGAGCTCTCAACTACCTAAACTAAAGCTGCCCCCACTTGACAGTGCCCATAGACTTGTTATATTGCAAGCTGGAAACAGCATCTGCTTGAAAGCTCCATTTTATTTCACTTTCAGGTCTACTCCTTTAGCGCCCCTTATAAATGGTGCTTCGCTGCCTTCCATGTGCTATGGAGAGAGACAGCAGCAGAGCACTGATTAGAAAAAATGTTGCAAGAGCAAGCCCATATCATAGAGAGCGCCCAACAACAGCTGAGGGCGAAGTTCTTACGGTAGATGCTCAGAGCCCAAAGAACTGAGGGCTGGGAAATTCTCTTCTCTGGCTTGAGGATGGATGCAAAATGGGAAGCAACAAATCCTAGAAACTCTTGGCAGCCATGCAAACTGGTGTACAAGGTAAAGCTTTAAGACGTCAGGCTAAAATCAGACAGTCCATTTTGAAATGTAGCTAGCTCATGGAGAACCTCCAGGGCAGCAAAGAGGACAAGCTGACACCACAGCATTGTAAAATCAATTGGTTACTGCTGAGGAGAAGTTGGTGAAATATACAGGCTGCCCATTCACAAAGAGACAGAGGCACTCTAGAAAAGAAGGTCTGTAAAGGAGAATGCCTGAGAAGGAACAGAAGCAGCAAAATCTAAACGAGCAGGTGGATAACAAGGAAGGGAGGGCTCATTTAAGCCCTCTCCTCCCTAGTGCTTAATTTGTAATGAAAGAGGTGCCAGGGCTCAAGCAATTTTTTACTTTCATAACTGACACGGCAAGCCCAGAGGTGCTGGAGCTATAAACTGCCAAACCTAGAGGTGTCAGGGCTCAGCCCTGGCAAGCCCTGGCACAAATTAAGCACTGCTCCTCCTATTCCAGTGCTGACAGTACTTTGACCAAGATGAGGCGGAGATTGTCCCTCTCCATTTAATTTAAATTGCTTCTTTTTGTAGTACAGGAACGCCTAGAGGTGAACCAAGATGAACCCATTGCGCTTAGGCACTGTACAAACAGAGTAAGTGAAAGTCCCTGCCCCAAATAGCTTACAATCTATCTAGGCAGGCAATTCAAATCTCAGTGTCAGGACTAACTACCCAGGAGCTCTCTTTCACAATGTCTTTCAACATTGCTTTTACCAAAAAAGGACAAACAGGTCATATCCTCAGCAAGTGTAAATAAGCATTGATTTCACTGGACCACTTTCCACCAACTGAGGATCTGGCCTAATCTCTCCAGCTAGCTGGCTTTGACTAAAATCATTTAGTCTTGGGAGCGGCCTGTGCCTCAAAGCACTGAAGAAATAGACATTTTCATTACTTTGCAAAGCCACTTTGTGTCTCCACGGAAACCGAGTGGACCACCTACCATTTCGTGCTCTGCAGAACCACAAAGGGGGGGAACTGTGAAAATACATTTAAATTGATAAACCTTCAAACACTACCTTTTAAATAAAGATGTCCATGTTGAAGCCACTGACTGATTTCAGGCAACATCAGAGAATTTTAAATTAAGAAAGTCCTTTAAATCCAGAATTAATTTTTGAGTGTGTGTGTGAGAGAGAGACAAATAAAAAAAGGTATAAAGAGATTAATTAAACTGACAGATTTTGGGAGATTCACATAGCAAAGGTAGAGCAACTACAACATTTCCACAAAAACAAAGATTTTGCTGAATGAAAATTATTCCAGTGTTTAATGGATGACATTTCAATTCTTAAATGTCTGCCTCACATTTATGACATTCATTAGACTTCAAGTGCAAGACAAGTAAAGGTGGGGGGGGACGGGACATTGCACATAGAGTTGCCATTCAGAATGTGCAAGCAATCTGCATGACAATGCAATTGTCTTTCCTGCAGTGAGACAGGCCATAATGCAACACAGTCACAGACAACATGTTTCCACCACTGCCACTTTTCTAAAGCAAAGGCAGGTTTCTGAGTATCAGCAGTTGCAGGAATCCCAGAACAATACAGGCTTGGAGTAAACCTTGCTGTGGGAGTCAGGAATGCTGCTTGCTTTTATGTTAGGTGTAAAAAAGAAAAGATTAACAGATTTGTTTTTCAGAAGAATGAATCCTGACTGTATTGTGAGGAGTGATATGTTGCAGGCAGCCCATTTCTCTCCAGCAGTCACATTATCATTGTTAAACATCATGAACAATGCAAACAAATATACCTGCCCTTCACTGGCTGAACTGAAGTTGCTCAGACAATGCACTTGTAATTCCCCTTGTTATATTTTTAAGATGTAAATACATGGGATTTTCGCCAGTAAAGTAACTGGATTTTCTCTACTATTGGAAGAAGATTTAAACAGTTCAGGGCCCAGCTGTGCTCTGTTACACCTTTGCTACTCCACTGTCTTCATGAATAAAACTTCACAGATAAAACTGTGCAGAATTTGGTCCAGGAGTTGCCTCCCAGACCCGGAGTCGGGGATGGGAGGGAATCCTGAGTGGGGGAGAGAGGTGATGGATGAATAGTTCTGTTCCTCCACCTCTCCTGGCCTGTCTAGTCCCACTCTGCAAACTGGAGTGCAGTAAACCCTCCCAGAGCAGAGCTCCATGACTTACAGGGGATACAGATCTCCTGCACTGAATTGTGGCTTCCTGATTAGAAGCCATTTTGCTGCGTCAGGGTCTTCTACTGACTGGGAAGTGGAATGGGGGAACTGAAAGTTTTTAAGACCCCCCCCCCAAACTAAATTCATCTCTCGGTTAGTTAAGATACAACCCAGTTGAAGTCAATGCGGTTAAGGTGGTGTAACGGAAATGTTAACTAGGCTCATTTCTTCTCCTATTGATGAAGACCTAGGATATAATTTAGAGCAGAATTTTACCCAGTGGGCCAAATTCACCCAAGGGGTAACTGCTGGGATGAAAATGGGCTGATGATTTAGTACTAATGGGAAAAAATCCCATCAAAATTATATTTTGTTTATTCAAACTAAAACAGTGAACAAATATCAAAACCCAATTACCTGGCCCCAAATAAGTTTCTTTTGCCTCCTTACATGTCAGGGAGCTCTCACCAACCAGATCTATCATTTTATTCCTGTGCTTTCAAATGGAATAAAGTCTATGAATTTTAAAGTTGTCAGGGTAACAGCATTTTGCCTAAGTCATTGCTAGTTCCCAGTGAGGAGGCAAACATAACAAAAAAGATTTCCCTTTATTAAAAACCACAAGCAATGGGATTTAATAGGAAGTAAATACTGTTTTAAAAAAATCAAATGATTATTCCAGAAACATTTTGCATACAAAACATCAAGAGGCATATAATAGGGCAGAAAAGAGTGCTAAACAATCTGGATTTGGCTATGCAAACCGAAACATTTTCAAGCAAACCCACATACCTCTTTATTAAATGGGCTCTGCTGTTCACATAGTTGGAATCAAAAGAGTAGTTTTCAGTCTGAAAGGAGGAAAAGAAAAGAAAGATAGTTATAAATGTGATTCACCTAACTGGAACCTCAGGTTTGCAAGGTTCATTGTATTAAGGACAAAGGCAATTACCTGGTAAATCCTGCACCTAAAGACACACTCTGGGCCCAGGCCTACTTATCCTTACTCAGGTAAAATTCCCATAATGCCCACTGCGCATTTAACCTATATTGGGAGTGTAGAATGGGACATTTTAATTGGGACAATGTCTGCCTTCAGATCTACATGGGCAATCCCCTTTGGACCCAGTCCTTACTCAAAATATGAGCCTGCATGAGGCATTCCCAATTTCTTTAATGGCACCCAGATGCTCCTGGGATGGGTATATTCAAAACTAGAGAGACAGTGTAGTCTAGTGAGCTAGGAACTGGCTACGGAATTGGGAGAGCTGGGTTCTAGTTCTGGCTCTAACACTGACTTGCTATGTGGCCTGGAACAAGCTGGTTAGGCCCAACTTTATGAAAGCGGCCTCTAATTTGGGATACCTCAATTTCTGAGTGGCCCAGTGTAGGATGTCTGATTTTCAGAGATGCTGAGTACCCCAACTACAAGTGAAGTCAATTGGAGCTGCAAGTGGCTCAGCACCGCTGCCTTCAGAGAATCAATCTGAGCCCCCCAAAATAGAAGCACACAAAATTAATGGACGTTTTTGTAAATGTTGACCTTCCCATTTCCATGCCTCATCTGTAAAATGGGGATAATGATACTGACCCACCTCAGAGAGGGAGCTGTTAGGAGTTTATACAGCATCAAAACTATTACTAGGAATGCATGAGGTAAACAGAGTGGGAGTTCCACATGTAGTACAGCTGCATGATAGAACCCTCTGGCCTTACCCTGGCAAAATTCCTATTGACTTCAGTGAGAGCTGTATTCATGTGTGTGAAGGTTGAATTTGTCCCTTAGAGAGCAAGAAATAGATCTGATGCAAAATGAATACCTTAAATGTTCTACATTACTTTTTTTTTTTTTTTTAGACAGCTGAAGTCTCCAAGCCCTGCCAGTCTTTATATAAACATTTGACAGAAAAAGGCTGACTGGTGACCACAGAACAATTTGCAGAGAAGAAACAATGTGACCACACTCTGTTACAAAACTAATTGCTTTTAATTCCCTGATGGATCCAGTTCTGCGTGTGGCAATTTGGCAGAAAGTTCAAAAGGTATTTTTCTTATTAGTGTATAATTAACATGTTAAAATATTTATTGCATAGATATGTAAATACCAGCAAGGTAATCCCCTGCTGGAGAATTTAAAGTGGGCGCTTTATTTTAATTAGGGCTGTCAATTAATCGCAGTTAACTCACACGATTAACTAAAGAAAATTAATCGCGATTAATCGCTGTTATAATTGCACTGTTAAATAATAGAATACCAATTGAAATTTATTAAATATTTTGGATGTTTTTCTACATTTTCATATATATTGTATTCTGTGTTGTAATTGAAATCAAAGTGTATATTATTTTTGCTTACAAACATTTACACTGTAAAAATAAACAAAAGGAATAATATTTTTCAATTCACCTAATACAGTACTTGTACTGTAGTGCAATCTCTTTGTTGTGAAAGTGCAACTTACAAATTTAGATTTTTTTTTTGTTACATGACTGCATTCAAAAATAAAACAATGTAAAATTTTAGAGCCTACAAGTCCACGCAGTCCTACTTCTTGTTCAGCCAATCACTCAGACAAACAAGTTTGTTTACATTTGCAGGAGATAATGCTGCCCTCTTCTTGTTTACAATGTCACCCGAAAGTGAGAACAGGCGTTCGCATGGCACTGTTGTAGCCAGCATCATAGGTGCCAATTTCTCCAGGCGCCAGTGGGTGCTCACGCCCCCCGCCCCTGGCCCCACCCCACCCCCATTCCAACCCCTTCCCCAAAGTCCCCGCCCCAACTCTGCCCCCTCCCTGCCCCATTGGACTCGTTCCCCAAATCCCCGCCCTTGCCCCGCCTCCTCCCCTGAGCGCGCCACGTTCCCACTCCTCCCCCCTCCTTCCCAAGCGCTGGGAGGAGAAGCGGGGAAGGAGCGCTCAGAGGAGGAGGCGGAAGCGGAGGTGAGCTGTGATGGGGGGCGGGGAGCTGCCGGTGGGTGCAGAGCATCCATCAATTTTTCCCCGTGGGTGCTCCAACCCCGGAGCACCCACGAAGTCAGCACCTATGGCCAGCATTACAAGGTATTTACGTGCCAGATTTGGTAAATATTCGTATGCCCCTTCATGCTTCGGCCACCATTCCAGAGGACATGCTTCCATGCTGATGACGCTCATTAAAAAAATAAGAATTAAATTTGTGACTGAACTCCTTAGGGCAGAATTGTATGTCCCCCTTTTCTGTTTTACTCACATTCTGCCATATATTTCCTGTTATAGCAGTCTCGAATGACGACCCAGCACATGTTGTTCATTTTAAGAACACTTTCACTGCAGATTTTACAAAATGCAAAGAAGGTAACAATGTGAGATTTCGAAAGATAGCTACAGCACTCAACCCAAGGTTTAAGAATCTGAAGTGCCTTCCAAAATCTGAGATGAACATGCGTCGGTCCACTCTGCTTTGGATTGTTATCGAGCAGAACCTGTCATCAGCATGGATGCATGTTTTCTGGAATGGTGGTTGAAGCATGAAGGGACATGTGAATCTTTAGCGCATCTAGCATGTAAGTAACTTGCTATGTCGGCTGCAACAGTGCCATGCGAATGCCTGTTCTCACTTCCAGGTGACATTGTAAACAAGAAGAGGGCAGCATTATCTCCTGCAAATGTAAACAAACTTGTTTGTCTGAGTGATTGGCTGAACAAGAAGTAGGACTGAGTGGACTTGCAGGCTCTAAAATTTTACATTGTTTTATTTTTGAATGCAGTTTTTTTTTTTTTACATAATTCTACATTTGTAAGTTCAACTTTCATGATAAAAAGATTGCATGACAGTACTTGTATTAGGTGAATTGAAAAATACTATTTCTTTTGTTTTTTTACAGTGCAAGTTCTCGTAATCCAAAATAAATATAAAGTGAGCATGGTACACTTTGTATTCTGTATTGTAATTGAAATCAATATATTTGAAAATGTAGAAAACATCCAAAAATATTTAAATAAATGTTATTCTATTGTTGTTGAACAATGCGATTAATTGCATGATTAATCACGATTAATTTTTTTAATCACTTGACAGCCCTATTTTAAATCTTTTTGTTAAACACCAGTATGAGGACATATCTGAGTTTTATTACTATTACAGAAGCAAACAATGAGGGGTATGCTTAAAACTGGGATGGGACAGGAGAGGGGGACAAAAATCAATGCTTGTAATTATGCTGTTTGCAAGCAAACCCCTCCCCCCAACAAAGTCTGCACGTAAAACAACATAGTTTAAACATGTATTAAAAATCCCACTGTCCCTTGTTTTCATAGTAACAGGTATTGAATAACCAGAACTTGTTTAGAAAGAAAGAAAGGTTCAGTGTCACAGTCGATTAGGCTGTGGAATAGTCTCCCAAGGGAAGTGATGGAAGCTGCATCGCTTGAGTTGTTCAAAACACAGGCGGGCAAAGCACTACAGAATATACTATAGGGATCAGTGTGGACTAGGGTTACTATATTTTGAGTGTCCAAAAAAGAGGACACTCCACGGGGCCCCGGCCCCGCCCCCAGCCCCGCCCACGCCCCTGCCCCAACTCCACCCCTTCCCCAAAGTCCCCGCCCCAACGCCGCCCGCTCCCCTGCTTCCCGCGAACATTTGATTCGCGGGAAGCCTGAAGCAGGAAGCAGGTAAGCTGGGGGGGGTGGGGGGAGGAGGCGCGGCCCAGTCTGGCCCCCTCCGGCGGCCAGCCCCGGCGTCTCCAGCCTGGCTCGGCTCGGGCCCTGGGGTGCCGGCCCAGCGCGGCCCCGGCCCAGCACTGCCAGCCCCCGGCCCGGCCAGCGCCCCCGGCCTGGCCAGCACAGCCGGCCGCCCAGCACCGGGATTTCCCCCCGGACGGGGATTTGAGTCCCAAAAAGCCGGACATGTCCGGGAAAATCCAGACGTATGGTAACCCTAGTGTGGACTGGCCAGGACAGGGGATGGGCAGCAGGGCCTGATAGTTATTCCTGCTTTATAACTCTATGATTCTGTTAATAATCAAGTATTAGCACATCCTGAAGTCATTATTCAGACATGGGCGATGGGTACATTGAACAGTCTTGAGTCTCTTTGCTCCAGCCATGCATCTCTTTCCCCCTCTTTATCCTTCCTAACTCCACTAAACAGATAGGGTGACCAGATGTCCCGATTTTATAGGGACAGTCCCGATTTTTGGGTCTTTTTCTTATATAATCTCCTATTACCCCCCCACCCCGTCCCGATTTTTCACATTTGCTGTCTGGTCACCCTATAAACAGAACAAAACACCACCACCTTTTAGGAGCACCCGGGACCCAGTAGCACGGACTTTCCCTTTATCTCCCCTCCTCTCACCCCCCACATTCCTATGGTGCCATATGGCCAGGCTCTGACATTGCTCAATGCTCCCTCGCTGCAGTACGCACTACACACATGGCAGCATATCAATGATACAGACAGCACTAGACATTACCAAGAGAGCTCTGTGACACAGTCGGCTTAGGGAGACATGGGCGGACACTAGCAGGCAGACAGCATCCCTGAAAGAGCCACATTTTGCTCTCAATTTGCATCTCCCTACAGGAAATACATGGGCCTCACCCTTTCCTATTTTCCCTGATCCTGGTTAGAGCCTCTAGGCACTACCATAATACACATATTAATAATAAAAATAGCCTGGAATAAAAGGGAAAAACAGCTTGAGTCACAAAGAACCCACCCAGGTCCAAATTTCCTCAAAATTTGGGATGTTCAGTTGTAGCATCAACCCTTCCCCTCCATCCTCTTTGTAAGTGCTACTTTGGAATACAATTTCCTGCTCTTATGGCAATTATGAACACAGTAAAAATAAATGTATGCATCTTTA